CGCCTCACTACAAAGGTATTAGATCGGGAAAAATAGTCTAAACGGTGTCTGACAGGGAAATATATAAGGTATAGGTGATATATCGGGAAAAATACCATGAAAATAATGTATTAATATTTTATTTTATAATTATATTAAGATTGAATTATTAAATTAAATAAAAATTATTTTCTAATATTTCACGCATTATAATGTTTAAAACTATTTTATTATTTGTATTAAAAATAAAAAATAAATTTCGTTTAAAATTAATATAAAAGTTTAGAAACTAAAATTGGATAACTTGCATAATATGAAAAATTAATAAATTTATGCATCAATGTGAATAAAAAGTTTTAATATAATATGAGAAAAATAAATAAATTTTGGTATCAACATATAATAAAAAATTTAAAATTTAATGTATAAAGTTGATTATTTTGAAAGATAAAATACGGTTTATTTTTTTAGAAGTAATTTAGGTGATTAGAAGATAATATATATCTATAATCTTTCTTAATCGTTTACAACACACATTCTATATACGTAACTGTTCAAACTTAAAATAAATAAAAAACCTTTTTAATCATTAATATCGCTTAATAATTTTATTTTTATTTAAAATTTATATTCTATAATAATATAATTAAAATATTACTTTAGATAAAAATATCAAATTACTACAGAGTGCAAGTGATATCGTCAGCAAAGAGGGCTATATGTAATCAAGGAATGTCGCATCTCTCCGTAATGTTAGTTTTATTTAATTTGTTAGAATAAGTTTTTGACAAGTACACAAAATAGTTATTAAACTATACTTAAATTGATTTTGTCCCACTCTTATACATTAACTGGATATAATTATAATTTAGTTAGCTGCGACAATTTAGGCCCACACCTGCACATTTGTAAGGTTAATTGGGTGAACAAGTAAAATGTAGCATCCAGTTTCACTGGCCCATCTCGAGCTCATAAGTCCATAACTCTATCAAGTTGAAGAGCCCATTATATGTTAAAGAGTGGTTTAATTAATTAATCTTACAATAATTTGCATTAAAGTAGATTACAACTAAGTTCAGCCAAACTCTGGATTTAAAAAAAATCAATTTAAACCTCTGATTTTTTTAATAATTTTAAATTGTCCCCAAACTCTATCACCAAGTTTCATCACTGCTTTGAGGTATCAAGTTCGAACATCATAAATGTTAGGGGTGAGAGCGTTCAATATCAAATGATTGAGAGTTATCTTTGACAAAATATTGCCTTGATCCACCGTATCAAAAGAGTTTATACTTAACTACACCCTTATCAGTCTAATACAAAGAAAAGAATGAATTTGATGATGATACATATAAATCTTAAAATATAAAAATATAATTTTAAATCTCAGATTTAATATTTTTATAATATTTTTAATATTATTAAATTTAAGATTTTTATATTTTAATAACAATTAGATGATGATACGTGCAAATTTTAAAATTTAAAACATTATTATAAATAGTAAATTTAATATAGCTATAAATATTAAATTTATTTTTAAAATATAAAATATTAAATTTTGTTTAAATATAAAAATCTTAAATTTATTTTTATTGTAAATATTCTATTAATTACAATTTAATATATATATATATATATATATATAGGTATTTCTAATTTTTTTTACTTCTATTTTCTTTTACTATTAGCAAGCTTTTAAACGATAAATACAATTTGTTTAAAATGGGGACCTTTGTTGTAGTGGTTGGGGTACTATTAAAAATATTTAATTAAATAAATTAAGATTAATAAAAATATCCTCCAATCATGCATTGCCACGAGTCACTAATGACACGTGTCATGATCCTATGCTGACACATGTTAGATCCTAATTGAATGATTAATTTATTAAATTAAATTTAAATTATGACCAAATTGAGAGAACATATAAATATTAAGGACTAAATGTATAATTATGTCAATTCTTTTAACTACCACGTCAATATTTACGTCCATTCTTAATGATTAGTGGCTTATTTGACAATAATTAAATAGTTAGATGGTCTGATTGACAAAATTAAAAGATCAATGACAAAAGTAAAAGAGCTGAATAATTAGGTGGTCAATGGTATAGTTTATCATAAAAAATAATTATTTCATTCAATGATGATAAAAAATTCATAAATAAAATTATAATATTATCACATTTTTAATTATTCATTTAATATACTTCATTAGTATATTACAACAACAATAATTACATAAAATTCATTAGTATAAATTGTAACTTCATAGTTAATTTGTATTTAATTATTTTAGGTTTTTTATTTGTATTTAAAATTAATTGAATTTTTAAATATTAATGGGCATCGAATTAAAAAATTTTAGGCCTAAATATTTTAAATGGGTCTAGAGAGATTGAGCTAAACATAAATGAACGAACATAGACGAACGAACATAAATGAACGTAAGTGAATGAAAATAAACGAACATATTATCGAATGTTCATGAACGTAAATGAACGAGCCAGCTATCTGTTTATGTTCGTTCATTTAATTAAACGAATACAATATCTTGTTCATATTCTTTCGTTTAATAAATAAATGAACTTCCCACCGAACGGTCGTTTCGTTTGTAGGCTTAGTATTCTCTTTTATAAAAGAAATGATTTTACAGTTACATATATAAAATATATATTCTTGTAGAATGTTTACAAGTTCTTAGTTCGTTTGAATGGGTAAAAGTATAGTTTTTAGTCCTAAAGGTCTCATGTTCAAATCTAAGATGCTACAAAAACCATTAATTTTGTTTTGGTAATATAAGTTAGATATAATCTTTAGTGACATTTAGATAAACAAATCCTTAGCCAAGAGATTAGGTGCAATGCCTCTTCTCTAACGGATTAGTGAAATTAGATATTATTTTTTAAAAGATAATAATTGATGACCATAATAGAAATAAAATAATAAAAAATATGACTAAATAAACAGATAATTTACCCTATTTTTTCAAAAAAAATATTTTGCTTGTTATGGTGCTTTTGTGCTTTGTCCTGGGTTCAGTCATCGTCTCCACTTGAGCCCCTCAATGAAAACATTTAAAAACAAAACTAGATAATTTTGTCATCTTTCTAGCGATAAAAGAATTTGATGCTTCTATTAATTCAAACATACGAGCATCATTTTCTAAAATATTAGACCGACGTATTCAATAATTATAACACAAACGATATAAACAAGCATGTCCAAATTATGAAATCCAACTAAAATCCATTATTTAAAAGGTAATTTACTAGATTGATAAGTTGTACTAAGTTCGACGTGATATTTTAACTACATTGTTGAAGCTTCAGGAAGCCAGTAGCAATGCATTCAATCTCCAGTTGATGTAATGCTGACTAAGATGTACTTACTAGTAACTACCACCTGCTACCCAATGGCTAATGCTGTTATTCGTCTCAGAATTAAGTTATCAGAATTCTTTGGATTTAAACACGTGCACAAAACACTTCAAATATTTTCAAAAATTGTGTATTTTAAGGAATGCTTGCACATGAAAGGTTGGTAATAAAAACTTATATGTTTTTATAAATTCAAGCCATTTTTAAAATTTTAAAAAGTTTAATTTCTAGTATAAAATATTATTCCTGTTCTGCAGGTCGCATGATACGTCATCCATAGATGGAAAAAGCATAATTGAAAATAGAAGATCTATGAAAGTCTTGACTATCTGAGTGTAATTTGTTTGTGTACGAAACTGACAAGAAGACTGATGGTCCCATTTTCACAATAGGTAGAGATGGCTATCAACATTTCCTATGCTGGGTACTGTACACTTGAATTATTCAAACATTTAAGGAGTTAAAGGATGATGCAAACAAGTGATTTCAAACTATTAAACCAACTTTCGAAAAACGGCCCCCATTGTGCAGAAAAACGAGGGCTTCTGTATATTTTTGTGGGTAGGGAAGTCAAAAGAGAGTTGAAAAATCTATCTTACTACACGACATTTCTTCTATATAAAGATTTCATAGCCCCACGACATCTCTTAATCATTCATATGAACAGAATTATGCATGCCTCTCAAGTCTTAAACAATTGATATGGCCCTGATTAATTGGTTCTGCTTGATTTTTCTTGCTTTTTGGGTTTGTTTATGATTTTGCCCTTTAACAACTTCAAGAGGCCAAACATCAAATACCCACAGGTTGTTGTTGTAGAAACCCAGCTCCCTTTTCGACCTTTGATTTACACGAGGGTATATCGACAAAGTACAATTCTCTGTCTAACCATATTCCACATTTTTTCTGTGAAGTTTTAGGGAATTTGCTGTGAGTTAAGACACGATAGCAGTTGCAAAGGTTGGAACGAATCCTTACAACATATGCTTGAGACAGAAGTAGGTGGCTGCCGTCCATAGAATATGGTCGCTTGTAAGCGGTTTCCCTTTATCAAAAAGCAAAAGTATTAAAAGAGGGAGACCAAGACCTGATCCAAGTATTATAACAAATTCAAATTGTATTTATTGAGAGAATTCATTAGATAAAGTAAATATATATTTTTAAAATAGACTTAAAAAAATAGACTTAAAATTATATTTATAATTAATAGATTATTAAAAGATATTAACCCGATATTATATTACGATTGCGAAAAAAGGAAAAAAATATCATTTTTTTCATTTTTTATAATTAATATGAAATAAATATAAGATAATATATATTTAAAAATATTTCTCAATCTTTTAACATTTAACATTCACACTTTAACAATTATTGTGTTGGAATTTAAATTCTTAAAAAATAATCATAATTCTTTTATTACGTATCACAAATATCAACGGCTTGGATCATGCTAGCACGCAACATTGGGACCCACTAAAATCCTCCTATGTCCGAACAGCAAGGACATTTGCCGGTGCACCTTTCCACATTGTACTATTATTGGTGACGTACACTGTACACACCATCCCCTTTTTTTAATAAAAAACCCCCTCTCCCTTTTCACTTGCGTCCTCAAATTTCCTTCGGCCTATTAACACTTCCACCAATTATTCTTTCGTATATTCTCGTTTTGCGGGATCTTTGCCACTGTTTTCTTTGTCTTTTTTCCCTTACTTATGAGAAAGGGAGCAACGGCAGCATCAGACAGGCGCGCTAATTCATCATCGGTGAAGAGGAGTCTATGCGATGGAGAATCAGTTTGTTTCACCACCCCAAGTGCATACCTCTCGACCGTCCCTCGGCTTCCCTCTTGGCACAGCTCTCCTCTTGATCATCATTTTCAGCTTGAGTGGCATCTTCTCCTGCTGCTGCCACTGGGACAAACTCAGGTCACTCCGCCGATCTTTCGCCGATGGTGCCCATCCTGACGCCGACATTGAAGCTTCTCCCTCCAAACCCAAGCCTGATTTCACTGTAAAATCTCTCTCTCTCTCACACACACACAATCTTTCAAAAAAAAAAAAACAGAAAACTGAGTTGAGAATTGAGCCTTAAGCTTAGTTTGTGCTACTGTATTTCAGGATCTGAAGCAAAACCAAAGCCAAAGCTTGCCTGTATTAATGCCGGGAGACCGGATCCCAAAGTTCATAGCATTACCATGTCCATGTCAACCTCCACGGCAAGAAAAGGTCGAAGTAGAAGTTGAGAAGCCGCCCAAGCTGCCGCGTTTCCCGGTACCTTTCGGATTGGCAACTTGACGATTGATTGTACATATTGGACCATTTAGATTAATTTTCCGTCCGAGTTTTTCATCAGTAAAAGAAAAAAAGGATTGGGATGGGTCGGAAAATTTACCATCTTTGGATCATTCCCCAGGTTGAAAAAACTACAGGTAAATTTGTATAGACTTTTCACTGCTTATAACAGCGTCATGCCATTATTCACCACAAGGAAGAAGATTCCAACTATTGTGTCGGTTGGAAAATGAGATGGCTTAATGAGGTTGTTATCCACAAAAGCAAAGATCGTGTACGATCATTCATTTATGTTACAGACCCTACCTTAATCCCCAATGTAATGTAATCTTTTGTTTGTAACTGTTCCAATCTATTTTCTTCTCTTTACTTAAACTTGCCAGTTCCAGTACACTTTTTTCTGGAGTAACAGAGTATGCCAACTGAGCTGGTTTGTCCCTGAAAAAAATGGGACTTCGTAGTCGCTCTTTTTAGCAGTTCACGAATTGAACTGATTGGGATTAGCCATGAGAAGCGGGTAACCCTGTTTCCTGGGAAACCCAAGGTAAGCCTATGATTGAAGAATAATAAGTGGAGGTCACCGTCAAAAATTAGGCAAACCTGTGGGATTCCCCCCCCCCATTTTAGGATAACTTGGAAGTCAAGCAAATGCAGTGGATTGAAATGCCCAAGTTTTGAGCGAATATCAACTATAGAACGCACGAAACTGAATTTTGAACCTACAAGAAATCTTACGTTTCTTTTCAGTTTAAAATGAAGATGAGCTGTCGGATTACATATGTGTTCGTTGAGAAACATTATTTCATTTTAAATTGGGATTAGATTGCGTATATTTACCAGTAAGCTCAACAAATGAGCAAAGTTATTAGATAGTTCAGTAACCGAACGAAATACATTTTAAATAACGCAACCAACTTCGTGTTTCTGTATTTGTCCTTCTCACATGGCTTACGAAACCAAGAGATAACATACAAGAAACATGGGGATGCCACGCTGGGTGTCATCTTAGACCAAAAAACGAGAAAGTAAATCAAATGTGAAGCATGGAACGTTGAAGATTTGGCCAATTTCAGCTTTGTCGTCACCGTCACACGTCTTTTCATGCCATACTACAGTTCATGTTAATAATTTTGTGATTCTAATCTATTTCCAGTCATGTGAGAATTATTTGATTAAATTAAATGTTTATATTTAAATATATTTCTCTAATAAAAATTAATTTTTTATTAAATAAAAAAATAAATACAATAAAAGTAACACAATCTCAATATAAAAATAAGTACGAAGAAAAATAAAACCAAAATCTTCTATTGAATATATGCTTCATATTCTAAAAGAAACTAAACAAATATCAATAATTTTATTGTCTGTTTTTTGAACTTGCATGCAATATTGATTTTGATGAAGTTGTGGAGATTGAGAGAATCAATTTAACAAAGCGTTCCGCGAATGATTTTGAATGTATCGACGAACTATCGTAAAAGGGGATCTAACTATACTAGATCGTCGACATTTCATGATTAGAAGGTACACCATGATGAATGCAACACAAAACATCAAAATATTATCATGATAAAAAAATTGTCATAAAAACAAACGAACAACTGTGTCATAAAATCATGCAAAAATAAATGATATAAAAATATGTGACAAGAAAAAAAATCAAAACATAGAGGATGTTTATTTAAAACTAAATAAAAAATTTAAAAAAATGATTACGATTCAGGGCGACAATTTAAAAGAAAAATAAAAAAATACTTAAAAATATGTTAAAATGAGTTTTGATCGGATTTTATACTTAAATATTGAAGAAGTCGTACATTTAACACGTATTTTTAAGAATGTTGCAGCAATAGTACAATACTGATTTTGATTACAATACTGATATTGATTAATTAAACTTTAATCAAAATTTTACTGATTTTAAATAACAATAATTATTAAATTTAATAGTGGAATGCGGCATATCTTAGTCCAAGGGGACCTCTTTGTTTGTCTGTTTTGGTGGTGACCTAATTTCACTATTTAATTCTTGAAAAGCAATCGTTAATACTCGTATTATTAAATTGAAAGATTCGTAATTTCAATAATTAAAATTCAAAATATACTGTGACCATGCATCTTAATTAACAAAAAGAAGTCTTAACCAACTCCATTAAGCATAAATAAATCAAGTGATGTATACAATCTCAACTGCCGAATTGCCATTTTCGCGATGGCTTCTTTCAATCTCTTTCCCTTTCCTCGTCATCTTCAACCACTTCGAATTAAGAAACAATGAATGAAAAGGAGAGAAGGCTTGGGCAGCCATGAAAGCAGCTTGGGCCATCATGTTCCTTACATATTACAAAGAAAGAAATTGTAAAAGCGTACGGATAAAAAGCAATATCAAATGAGGCCCTTTCGTGTTGTTTATTCCTCACCAAAATCATCTTCACATCCTTTCCTCCTTAGACAACCCTTGGTGGATTTTGAGTGCTCTTATCCCATCATTTGGATGATGACGATGCCGCTTTTGTTTTATTATATTGTTGGTTCAATGAAATAAATTTAACTTTGCTTAATAAAATTATTTTTTAATTTATTTAAAATAATGTTTATATAAATTTTCATAATTTTTAATTATATCTATGGCCCGTGAATTATTATTTTTAAGTGAAAGGAAAATTTGGAAAAAATGTCATTGAATTAAGTGAGTGAAAACATATGGTATAATGGAGGAATTTGGATTTTAGAATGCACTTTCAAGCTGGATTAAAGTGCACTTTTTGATTAAGTACAAAAGGGGAAATCTTCAGGTAGAAACTAACTTTCTTCATAATTTTTTCCTCTTTTTGTATCTTTCATTTTTGTAATTTATAATTCAAATTTCATTTAAAAAAAAAGCGGCACAATCCATTTAATAAATAAATTAATTAAAAAATAAATATAAATATTTTATTTGATTAGTGTCATTATCCCTATATAACTATATGTGTGTATATAATTTTAATTTTTGGTGTACTCTTACATAATTACATTATAGTTTATCGTCTATTATACTGAAATTCTTATTTTATGTCTATGGTATTTTTTAAAATTTTATATCTATACGTTATTTTATCATCCTTACTCGTAATAATCGTATAAATAAATTTTGACATCAAAGAAGAAAAAAAACATTATCCTTAACTTTCAAACTAACCTTTTAGGGGTATTTTTAATATATTCTATTAACATAGATTTATTTATGAAAATAAAAAGAGTAATAAATATGAAAAATAAATAAAATAATATAAATATTAGGCAGAGTGTGAAAGGGGAAAGGGACGAGACAATGCCCGAAATCACGTAATGAAAGGTTAGGTTTTGATTGCAACTACAAGAAGGTGATGTTGAGAGTGGGGTTCTAAAACCACACAGTATCAATCCATCAATCAATCACCCACACCTATCTGAGTACATCGACACCAGTTGTTAATGTGGAAATCTCCCATGAAAAGTTAGGTACACTTGTACATACATGATTTTTTTTTTCTATATGTTACGGGTGATTCTTGTGAGGATAAGGAAATACGTAATAAAAATATTATAAAAAATATAATATTTTAATTTAACATAATTTAAAATGTTAATTCTTTTTTACTTTTTAGTCGTAATTTTTTTATAATGTTTTTAGTAGACAATCAAAAATATTAATCTTCTTCGTAATATTTTTAATTTAATTAAAATATTAAAAAAATAATATTTTAAATTACACTCAACTAGAAATATTATAATTTTTATAACATTTTTAATTACACTTACTTTTTTATCATTCCGTAATTTTATATTAGGTTTTCGTATAATAAAACTACCCATTATGTTACCCGATCCAAAATCATTAAAATGTATGCAACCTTTTTCTTTATTCTCCTCTTATTCATTACGTTCCTTCAAGTTTCATGGTATAGACAAGTGGATTAGCTAAAACAAAGGGTTTCGGTTTACCTAAAATTGTACTCAATTTGCTTTTTCATGTCAGCTTGGAGGATAAACTAATTTTATTATATAGATTAGTGGCCATTAGGTTCATGATTTTAATTAATATGACGCCGTGATGTAAGGGTGAGCTTTTTAAGTGGCCACCCAATCACAATTTGATAAAAAGTTTATTAAAAATTGAATAAACAAATATTTAATACATATACTATCAATTTTAGACCTTTAGTCTATTTTAATATATAAACTTTTATTTTTTTTAAAATTCATACTTAATGTTTAGCTTTGTTTCATTTTAGTACCCGTCGTTAAAAACTTAACGGATGTATTAACAGGGCATAGCTCCTATGGACGGACGACCATTCTGAACAGTGGCACGAGAGAATGACGAGTCGACCAACATATTTCAGTTCTAGGCCCATTGAACGGCTGACGAAAGAGATTAGAGGATGAAGAAGTTAAAGAATCTATCATCGATTTGGGGAGATTGAGGTAATTTTCGGTGAAAAAGAGGCCAAAAATCACATTCATGGGGTAAAAAAGGTGTGGGCCGAAAAGTTTGGACTTCATTGGCCAAAGAATGCAATGGCGACGACTGTAGACGCGACGACCGACGAACCTATCTATTAAATTTTTAACGGCGGAGTACTAACAAAAATAAAAACTAAATGTTATGTATGATTTTGAAAAAAATAAAATATTAGATACTAAAATAAACCAAAATTAATAGTTTAAGTAATAAACTCATAAGTTAACCTAAAAATTTAAATTAATTAAACCTTGAAACAAAAAATATTATATCAATCAAATCGTTTATCAATTTTTACACCGATTAACTCTTTAATTAATTTTGATGGTTAATACATTGGTATCGGAAAAACCCTATAGTTACTATCTCTTTGTTTATTTTTCATTTTTGATTGAGACGCGGCAACATCAATTTTGTTATTGGTCATCATCGCCTTTATATATGTATTTTTTTTATATTATGTATATATGTTTTAGGTTTTTAATAAATCTACCATGATATGTTTTTTTCAATCTTTTATATTTTCTCTATTTTTTGGTATAACTTTTCTTTATCTTTGTTATCGATCCTTTGACTGTTATTTTCATA